GCTTCTATCGTATCTACCAGTACTTCAACCACTGCAACTGCCAGTACTACATCGATTACTAGCATTTCGATGACTGCAACAACATCCATTGAATCGTTTACCGGTGTTTCAACGAATGAAATCACAGCCATGGCATTCACTGCTGATACATCAACCACCGTCAGTAGTAGCGGCACATTCATTACCAGTATAACTACGTCTGAAAGTACCGGCATCACATCCATCATAGAAACTAGTACTAGTTCAACAACGATTGCAACTACATCCACCACAACCAGTACTAGCACGTCGACAACTTTGACTAGTAGTACTACAACCAGTACTAGCACATCGACAACTGCGACTAGTAGTACCACAACTAGTACAAGTACATCGACCAGTGTAACTACATCCACAACTACTAGTACTAGCACATCGACGACGAGTGTAACTACATCCACCACAACTAGTACAAGTACATCCACAACTTCAACTACATCCACTACAACGAGTACTAGCACGTCGACGACTGAAACTACATCTACTACAAATACATCGACGACGAGTGTAACTACATCCACCACAACTAGTGCAAGTACATCCACAACTTCAACTACATCGACCACAACGAGTACTAGTACATCGTCGACGAGTGTAACTACTTCCATCACAACTAGTACAAGTACAACGACGACTGGAACTACATCCACTACAACAAGTACAAGCACATCGACGACCGAAACTACATCCACTACAACCAGCACTAGCACATCAACAACTGGAACTACAACCAGTACAAGTACGTCGACGAGTGTAACTACATCTATGATAAACAGTACGTTTTGTGTAAATGCGACTCATGTATTGTTAGTGAATGGTAGTTGTGTAACAAGATTGCAAGGACAGGTAGATTGTGTTTTGTCAGTTTTTATTGAATATATTTATTCTTACTTCTAGGAATCGAGTTATAATGTATTATTGAATGGTACGGGAAATTCACTGGTTGTTGCAAACAATCTTATCAATTATTTTGATTCGATTGGAAATGGCGATGTACCGGACTCGAATAGTATTTTACGACTTGATCAAGTGGATGCATTAGTTGATAATCTTAGTAATGTTAGTGTGAATACAAGTGGAAGTGCATCTTTTCTGTTGGTACAACAACGAAACCAAACGGATGATATATTCGTTGTAGGTGGATCATTTAATCCGAATACTCGAGGTGAGATTGTCAACGTTAACAATAAAAATAACGTGATTGATTCAAATTTATCAGCTGCCGCTATTGTTAGTAATAGATCATTAGTTAATATACAATCACTAAAAATATTCATTATTGATGGAGCTAGTATATATAAAAACATAGACAATTCAACTGATAACAGTTCACTCATATCACCGGTTATTGTTTCCTCGTTGCAACTGTTTAATAATACGCCTGCAAACAATGCAATAGATATTTCCTTATATTTCAAACCTTCTGCGGGTGCGCCGGCAAGTACTAATGGAACATTTTACTGTTCGTTCTATGACACGAATACGTTTCAATGGAACAGTTCAGGCTGTACTTCACCGGAATATAATACAGATTTTAATCGATATGAATGTAGCTGTAATCATACAACTTCTTTTGGACTTATTTGGCTGCCAGCTTCATTATTAGCATCATATGGACGTGCACTCAGACCAGCAGATATTGCATCACTCGTATTTCAGTCATTATCGATAGTATGTTTCATAATATGTATGGCTCATGCTCTTGTCATTCGATTTACAAATCGATTAATGCATTTACAAGCAAGTGATTTATTACCATTAATCTCATCAGCAAGTACTACCATTCTTTTTATTTTCTATATTGCACTTGGTATGACTGTCTATACTCAAACAACATCTGAAAATCAAACTCAATGTTTCTTAAGTTCTTCTGTATTAATGTTTTTCGTTTATTTCTTTTTAATCTTCATGTTTTGTGTGAAGACAAGTGTTGGTTATTTTAATTATCTACGCTTCGTTTATCTTTTTCCACAACCATCATTTCGACAATTGTACAAGTTACTCACTATATCATTTCTTATCTCAATAGGATGGGTTTCATTTGCTGCTGGTTTCAATTCGAATTCATCATTTAATATTACGCAATTATATCCATATAGACTTTGTTGGTTTACACATCAGGTTATTTATTATTTTCTAACAATACCTGTTGTACTATTTCTGCTGATAAATTCTATCATTATTATTCTTGTTGCTAAAAAGATTATTAATCATGCACGAAATGCAACATCTCCACATCAATCATATAAACGAATGAAACAATGTGTTACTGTTTTATTAGCATCTTGTGTTACACAAGGCATTGGATGGCTATTTGGTCCATTTATTTCATTCGTGAATCCAACAGCTGGTAATGTTTTAGAATGGTTTTTTATTATATTAAATGGATTAGAAGGTGTTTGGTCTATACTTTTGTATATAATTATTCGTACACAACGAATAGATGAACAAAAACGTGTTACAGCTGCTACAGAAATTGCCAGATTGTCAAGTCGTACATCAGGCATAGTGAAGAAAGATTCAGAACGTAATGATGAAAGACGAGATAGAACTAGAATACAAGATGATGAACTTATGAGACGGAATATCCGACTATGATAAACACATATATTTGATAAGTTATGTGTAAATAGCACTTTAATATGACTTGCAAATGAGTATGATATTTTATTTTTCAAATAACAAATGTTATATTTCATTTTTCTATCATAAAAAATGTTCTATCTGGTCACTTGTATCTTCTTTTTTGTTCAATTATTTAATCTATATCTTCGATAATCTCATTGAAAATTGTAATTTATTTATAGTTTATATTAAATAAATATCTAACAAGTTGATTTTTATATGAATGAGAAATAATAATGAATGAAAACTATTCTACGTAGTTTTACATCCTCATTGATATTCATACTCTCAAGATAAATATTGATATTTATTAAGATATAATAAATTACAGAAAAAGATTAGTAATTCATTAATTCAATTTAAAATAATAGGTTTAGCATTTGTAGTTTTATAAAAATGATAAGGTGCATAGAAACACCATGTAGGTTTATTTTCATTTAAACCCTTGATGTTTCCAATGATAGTTGTTAGATAATTTGATTGTAGATTCTTAACTGTACATTGATATAAATCAGTGTAAAAGAAATTATATAAATGAGCTCTAAACACTGGTTCAATTTCATTGACCGGACATGGCTGTCCATACTGATACATTGATTGAGTTTCATCGATGTTGTTTATTGGATTTAAGTAAATACCAGCTATGCTTGACGAATCAGTATAATCGACTTTTTCACTTGGATTAAATTCAATTGTTAAGTTTACTGTTACCAACGTATTAGTGGGTGGATTTAATACAAAAGAATAAAAATCAAATATTTTACTCTGATTATTTAATGAAAAATAACTATCTGTACTCAATTGATAACATTTATAAGGTTGAATTGTATATGGTCCACAGATAGAAGCAAATAATGGATTAGGAAGGGATTCAGATAATGCTTGACGACTTAATGTATTTGTATAATTAATAGTTGTGTATACATTGATCGCTGGAAAACTTTTCAATACTGATTGTAATGCATCATTGACATATGCAGTTTCGTTTGAAACATACATCACTATATATGATTTATTGTTCAATGTGACAAGAGAAAATCTTGAATCGATATATTCTCCAAAGTCTTCTGAATCGACTTCGTAGATTAAGAACACACTTGGACTTAATATATGTGGAGCAAATGCAACATTTTGAAGAGTATCATCGTTCATAACCATTTTTATAAGATATAACCATAAGAAAAAGTATATTTTGTTGAAATACATTATCGAGATACCTGAATATGATTTAATGCGTAGTATTAGAATACTTTTATACGTTAGAATCTAGACAAAAACAAATACAAAGAATACATGTGCTTTTTCTCTCTTATATAATAATGATCAATAATAAACGAGAAAACCCATTAGTCATCATTCTCACCTGACTACAATACACTGAAATAACTATCTATGAAAGTACCGCCTCTTATACTTCGACATACTTTGAACTGCTTTTACACTTTGTTATACAACTTTCTGCACGAGTTCTTTTATTTGTACCTTAGTATTGCGTTTGTCATTAATTCTAATGAAATCTGTGTGTGACATATTGTTTATTATTTTTTTTAATTGAAAGAAAAAAACATATACAAGAAAAAGTCTATATTATTTTTCTGTCAGAAGCAGTTACTAAGTTAATTTTATTTTTGTTAATAATCAAGTTTCATTGATAGCAGCAAGATTAATTTGATTGTTCTCTTCTCGCATTACCGTTATACTTTTTCCGCAAACCTTGTAAATTAATCTTTTGAAATCATGTCGAAAAGCTTTTGATAAGCTTATAAATACAAAGAAATTGGCACAATAAGGAATATTATAAAGGAAAGTAAAAAGATTATTGATAAAATTTCCAACTGCTGTTTGTAATGGTGTTCGAATTTGTTCTCTTGTAATTGCTTGATAGAAATAATAACCATTAATTAACATAGCAAAAATCATAAAAACAATTCCTTCAGCAAATAAACAACGAAGTAATTGAAAATCTCGTTTTGTCATTGTTCGAAGTTCTTTTTGTTGTTGACGTGGAATTAATTGAATATGATGAACATTTTTAAATGATAATATTGATAAAATAAATAGAACTATAACATAAAGAGTGTGAATACCTGTTAAAAAGAAAAAAACAAAATTTAGGTATTCATTTGTAGGTTCATAAGAGCACAAATAAAGTGAAGGACCAAATTGATAAATATTAACTTTAACAAGTAAATGAATATTAAAAATAATCCAAAAACATGTACTTATACTGATCATGAAATAAGCTAAACGTTTTGAACTATATAAACGTGTATCAACATTTTGTGAAGAAATTAATAAACGATCAATTGATGCAAGAATAAGAACGGTAGGTGCGCCAGTTGCCCAAATAAAAGCAGCATAAATATAAAATTTACATAAAACAACATTGTTGTTTTGGGCTGCTATATTATTACCATAAGTAAATATTGATCCAAGCATTGTTGAATTTATAAAACATAAACCAAAAATAAGATAAATAAAAAAATAAAATACGCAAACATTTTTTCGCCAGATTTTTTTTGAAAACATAAAAATACTTGTAAAATTGCCCAGATTTCCCACTATAAATAATGGTGGAGACATATATTTAAAGAGAACAGTCGATATATTATTAAGTTGAAGAATAATATCACTATCGGATGAATTCATTTTGACTTATTGACTACAAAGTAATACTTTTTACACTCTTTATATATCGTTCAATCTCAGATAATTAAAAAGATGTGAAAGACATCTACTGAAATTGATAGACCATTAATAACATAATCAAAAGCAGATTGTTTAAGTAGATAAACCGAGAATTTATTACAGATTATCTGGTATAAATGATGATGAACTATGGAATTTTAAAAATAACATTTAATTGAATCTAACCTGGAGACAAAAACTTTACCTTTTTTTGATGTACTTCGTACGTCCTTTTAACGTCTTGAAGACGAGGTGACTGTAGCAAAAGAAACTGAATTTTCTAGAATACTGAACGATGTATTTATTCAAAAATATATAAATAAATATCTAAAAGTATTTCAAAATATATTAATCATAAAAACAATCAAAAATACAAAGCCCGACGTTATATTCACTACATTTGTATCTAGAAACAACAATCTTTCTTGCGCTATTTGTTGTATTTGCACAGACCACGCATTATTTTCGAGAAATTTTTCTTGTTGATAGTGATCTAATAGAAATACTGTGTTTAGCTATAGAATGAAAGAAGGTGAATGACGACACAATAAAAATAATTATACTTTGAAAGTATTCTCAGAGATTTAGTTCTGTCACATGCTGGTTAAGTCAGCATCGAAGGACACATATGTACTTCCCGTCCCCATGGGGTTAATATAATCGTGTTCTTATGTAGATATTAAATTATTGTTAACTCGTGATGTTGCTCAGGATGCAGGTGTGAGTGCGAATCTTCTTCTATCTCTTCTACACCCACATACTAAGACGATGAGTAAGAATAAACTCAATATCTCAAATGAATATTGTTTCTTTTGATTGAATAAATATAATTTTAGCAAATATTTCTAATCGAAACGATTTTTTCATGTAACAAATTCAAACATATATATTTACAAAAGTTAATTTACTGTTATTCCTATATCAAATATCTAATTGTCAGCAAATAAATGAAACGAATTATCGAACACCTACTCAGATCATCATTGATCAAATATTGTAATATGTCATGAATTCATACATATTTCATCATCATCTTTAATATTTTCAACATTTCCTAAGTAGATCAATTCTCATTTTGATTTGATTTTTGCTTATTTAAGTGAAGTATGCTATACTAAAGTATTCGATTATGAAAGAGAACCTCTTGAGAGTTACCAGAAGAAAAGTTATACAAAATATGATACAATATTCCTTCTATACGTTATTTTCTCAAACGTATCGATCAAGTAGGTAGAAGATTCAGGTTGAACAATTCGTCTCAAGTGAATACTTATGGAAATGACTATGTACACTCAGATAAGTATAATGTATTCATAAATAAATATGAAGTTATTTTATTAATTTTCTATTGCACTCAAATAAAGCGTAAACAAAACGATAAATGAGAATTATTCTAGATCAACAATGTTCTTCTTTCTTAATTAACTTAGAAAATGAAAAACCGGTACCTGCAAGGTCATTCTCTTGCTGAAAGCATATTCTAGTTTTTTCATATTAAAACTACGGTACTGCGAAGTTTTATATTTGAAATTATTTCTCGATTTATCTGCCGGGATGGTCTAGATCTATCTTTAACAGTTTTTTTAGAGGGCAAAAAATGAAGTTAATTACTTCATATTTGCTTATTAATTCATTATATCTATTTAAGTGCGTTTTATCAATCTACTATTTACGCTTGTATGCATAGAGTCACTTCTTTCAAATGAATAATACATTATTTCAATCTTTGTATAATGATTTTTTTTTCATAGAATAGCCATTAGCTGATTAAATATTCACGTATATTATACAAATATATTAGAATCATGTCTTTTGGATTTCATTTT